AAATACTGAAAATATGAGAAAATAATAAAGCTATGATTGTTAACAGGAAAGCCTAGTATAACAAAAATACTGAAAATATGAGAAAAATAATAAAGCTATAATTTTTAACAGGAAAGCCTAGTAAAACAAATACTGAAAATATGAGAAAATAATAAAGCTATGATTGTTAACAGGAAAGCCTAGTATAACAAAAATACTGAAAATATGAGAAAAATAATAAAGCTATAATTGTTAACAGGAAAGCCTAGTATAACAAAATACTGAAAATATGAGAAAATAATAAAGCTATAATTGTTAACAGGAAAGCCTAGTATAAACAAATTACCAAAAGCTGATCCATGCAAATTTTTAGCAACAGTTTCCAGAAGATTTGTAAAAGTTAAGTATTCCAAGCAACTCTCAAGTCCACCTAAACAAAATTCATCATCTGGCCAATATTTTAAAAAACAATATTACAATCTAAACTCTGTTTGGGTGTCTGTTTGTTTGTTCGATCATAACTCAGGAACCCCTGGACCAATTTGCCTTCACTTTTGAAGAGCTCGGGAGAACCACGGGAATGTTTTTAATTTAGTTTTGAGCTTCTAAGTTGATTAGGTCGACTTTTAAATATAAAAATTTTGTTTCCCGGTTAATCGTTCAAGTGCGGGTAAACGGCAGGAGCAACTATGGGTAACTTGGGCAACGCTGGGTTCCCAGGCTAGCATATTATATAATAATAAATGATAAAGTTGTTACTAACCTAGCGTAAAGGATCGTTCACAATCAGTTGTTGCATCACGACGAAAATTAGGAAAATCTGCAGCAAATCCATCTAAAATAATCTTAAGATTAAACTAACAAAACTAATTAACGGTAATTAATGGTAATTAACGGTATTTAACGGTAATTAACGATAAAAAAGTTCACCTCTTCTACCTCCTGTACGATCCTCCATGTTGATATCATTTGCCGCTGGAAAATGATAAATTAGTATCTTACTAAATGAAAAATTAAACCAGAGGCCGAATTTAAAGAGTAGAAACCTGTTCCAGTTGAGCACCGGCTCAAATCTCGCAACAATGAAAACAATTCTAAGTGGAACCAACCATGTCCGAGCCGAGCGGCTCAAATTCTTTAAATTCGGCCTCAGAAATTTAATCAATAATATATTTACCCATAAAGGATCCTCCAATACCACCAACCACGTTAATATGACGAGCTTCAACATCCCTTAGATAAACAAATTAATATAAAAATTGACATACAAATTTAAACGTTGTAATCTGTTTCTGGACGTCTTGATCTTAACTCATGAACACTGTGACCGTATTGCGGGGAACTTTGTAGAACCATGCAGGAATGTTGACATTAAGTTGAATGGGTTTATCAGGGCAATTTTACACAGCTTAGTTTACTAAGCATTCGGTGTGTATTATAGTAATCTGCAGTAGGCTAAATTAAAAAATTGTAGGTTTTCGTAGGGTTTACTAAGTAATAGAACTAAATACAAACTTACTTCACATTAGTTACTTTCTTGTCGGACTTATAAGCTTCTGGACAGTACAAACACTTCTCTAAAACATCAAGTATAAATGTTTGTTATCTAAAGCGTCTTAAACTTTATTTGATTGGAAGGGAATCTCCATAGATTGCAACGCCTGATTCACAAATAATACCATTTAAAGATTTGTCCAGTAAAAGAATAATTTAAATATCAATGTTAATAATTTTGAAAATTATTGTTTTCAACTGAGCCCGTTCTCTCCCTAATAATGCATGAACAGTGGACGTACTTTGTAGGATTATAAATAGATAATCCATTCGACCACAATTAAGAAGTCATGTGGTCGACCACTGTAATATTGAAAGGAATAACCTATATGGTATTTCTACTAAAGTGCGCATTTCTGCTGAAGGAAAACGTTTAGAAATCATACTTTTAATCCTAGAAAGAGACAATATTCTCCATATTATTGATCAGATTAAGGTTTCTAGGGCAATATATGTGAATCGGGCATTGCCATCTTTGCATGGAGTGTCCATAAAATAACGCTTTCAGTCCCTTTAAAACACAATATTTCAAGTTTATTTGGCTTAACTTCATTTTACCTGGCGTATAGTGTACAGGTTCTTCCTTGTGAGGCTTCTTGGTTGGTTTAGGAGAGTATTCTTCTACTGGATATCTGGCAGGACCTGGATATCCACCAGACGCAGGAGGATATCCAAAGGGAGCATAAGGATATCCATATGGGTTATAGGGAAATGGAGGGTATGCTTTGAAGGCTGGATCTTTGAAATGTTCCGGATATGGATACGAGTCAATTATCCTTGGTGCTGGTTCTGGTTTAGTTAATTTCTCTTTCCCAGCAGTCTGTTTAGAACCCCAAGCCTTAAACTAAAATTATATTATTATATTATCCACTAGCTGAACTAACCAACATTGCCCGTGGAATTTAAAATTTTTAAATATTATAGAATTTTGACAAAAAAAATCGAATTTTGACAAAAAATCTAATTTAAGAAATATCAAATTTTGAGAAAAAATTTAGAGTTGTTAACCCTATGCTACCTCCAGGGTACCCATGGGTCGTAACATATTAAAAAAAGCCCCTCCAACCCCTCCTCCCCATTTGTGACGCTGACAATAAAAAGGATGCAAGTATGCTGGAGTAGTGACACTACGGATTCGAAATTTAAGACGACCTCAAACTTGACGTACATGCTTTTAAATAGAGAAGCTTGAGCATTATGATAACAGAAATAAAAGCAAAAACAAACATTGAAACATAAATATTGTCTCATTCATTTAAAACTTTAACGTAACTGAAAAGCCTCTTTAAACTGTAAGAAGAAAATGTATATATACATATGAAAAATATTCATAACCTTGCATTAATAATGTTGAAAAAAATTTTAGTAATCTAAAAATAATTTGGTAAGTTTGAGATAACGAACAAAATGTTAACGTTTGTTATGCAACCACGGCCTAAACTAAGCTATCGGTGCGTCGTACTGCCGTGATCTGTGAAGTATACTGCTGAAAGAAAAAGTGGATTTTAGCAGCGAGTCCAACAGGAGTCCAATATAATTATATTTCTGACCCCAAATAGATCGAGGTTGAAAGAACAATTAGAGGCATGAAAATATACTTTCTGCGTTATTATTAATGTTTGAAAAGTTTTTTTTTGTGTACGTGTACTACATTTCAATACTGTGTACTGAATTTGGGGTGATAGAAATAATATCAGTAATCAATATAAGAGATGAATGAAGTCAAAAACAACACTCCCTTACAGTTTACATTCAGCAGTATGGAATTTGTTTAACAACTTGACATCATTCTTCTAATTTTTTATAACAACTGATATTTTACCTGAAGGGATACTCCCACTAGACAGAGAAGGATGACGACCTTCATTATAAATCCTAAGTAAAGAACTCAGCAATATTCCGGGAACCGAAAAAAAGTGACTTCATAGAAAGCTTTGTTTACAAATAAGGTGTACTGCAATTTTTCAGGAAGAATGTAAACAGTGAAAGCTCTAGTATATAAAAGTAATTTCCAAAAATAAAGCGTACTGCCGTTTCTGAGAGAAATGTAAACACACGCATTCCAATGCAGTACACATTATTTTAAAAAAATCCTTCTTTCTCTTGTACTCCCCGAAACTGCAGTACTCTAATTTAAACTACAGTACACTTTTAGATAAAAATTCCTTGGTGGTTACATTAGCAAGCATATTATAGTGTACTGCAGCTTTAAGACAAACAAGGTTCAACCAAACAAAATAAGTCCTCCACTAAAGGAATTGGGTCTTTTCCACAAACTTTGATTTTCTATATTTCTTTGCAACCCAATACAATTTTGTTAAATGTTAAAATGTCAATGGTTTACACCAGCAGGTTGCAAAGATATAGGGATAACTACAAATAAAGGAAGCAATAAACAAAAATCAGTGCCTAGGATCCGGTATCCGTTGGATCCGCAAGATTTTGGCTTCCTGGATCCTCAAAATATGCGGATCCGGATTAAAGAGGAAAAATATCAACCAAAAACAGAAAAAAAAGACCCCAAATCTGAACTGTTTCAAAAAGTGAAAGTATAAAAATTTTCTGATCTGTGAAAAGTTCTTAAAGTTATAGCATAGAAATAGAACCAAAAATAATTTTACAAATCTGCTTTGTTTAAACAAAATTGTAAATCTTAAAAAAAATGTTTAAAATTCTTAACACAGGTCAAATACTGAGTTTATACTACCTAGATGAGTCTGAGATACTTCAACTCAAGTAGTTGAAAGAATATTAACCAGCAATTGATAAAATTCCAATAAAGAAAACAGAACGGTGCAGTACATGTAAACATAAAAAAATGGAGTACGTTTTTAAACTATGAATTTACAAGCGTACTGCAGTGCAGTACAGTTACCATTCAAAGTCAACGTAAAAATAACATTATGCATTTACGATTTGTTTGTCAATTTCCTTTCTTGAAAAAAAAATTTACATAATTTAGATATAACAAAATAAGTTTATAGAAGGTTTTATTTAATAACGTTAAGCTGACTTAGTTCAACCGAAAGTTTGGCAGACCCAGTTTAGAGGACATTGTAGAAGACCCAGTTTAGAGGATAGTGTAGCAGACCCAGTTTGGAGAATAGTGTAGCAGACCCAGTTTAAAGAATAGTGTATCAGGTTTTATTTAATAATGTTAAGCTGACTTAGTTTATCGGAAAGTTTGGCAAACCCAGTTTAGAGGATAGTGTAGCAGACCCAGTTTAAAGGATTGTGTAGCAGACCCAGTTTAGAGAAGAGTGTAGTAGACCTAGTTTAGAGGATAATGTAGCAGACCCAGTTTAGAGGATAGTGTAGCAGACCCAGTTTAGAGGATAGTGTAGCAGACCCAGTTTAGTGGTAGTGTAGCAGACCCAGTTTAGAGGATAGTGTAGCAGACCCAGTTTAGAGGATAGTGTAGCAGACCCAGTTTAGAGGATAGTGTAGCAGACGCAGTTTAGATAATAGTGTAGTAGACCCAAATTAAATTTGGGTTGTGTAGCAGACCCAGTTTAGTAAATAGTATAGCAGACTAAATTTAAAGGATAGTATTGCAGAACCAGTTTAGAGGATAGAATAGCAGCTAACCAGTTTAGATAATAGTGTAGCAGACCCAGTTTAGATAATAATGTATAGCAGGCCTAGTTTAGAGGATATATTAAGCAGACCCAGTTTAAAGAGTATCGTGTGAATTAAATGTAAATAGTGATGTTGCTAAAATTATTTTAATATATAGCTTCAGGAAACGAAAACATTTGCCAAGCTAAAACTAGTGTGAACAAGCTGTTCACAAATATCGTCTTCAATTTTCACAAAACCACTAGGAAACAGAAATGAAAGTCGAGCACGCCATATGTTTAAAAATCTATTATTTTAAGGCATAAATCCAAAATATTTTTCTGTTTCAGGTAAGAGTCAGTATCCGGGTTGAATCAGTAAAAACTTCCAAACATGGGTGAATGAATTAATATATCTTATTTTTCCTAGAAAGACGACATTCTTAAGTTTTGGAAAACAAATGGTGAGACAGCTTGAACAGCATATTAAAAAATAAAATACAATGAATACAATAGTAACTAGATAGATAGATAGATAGATAGATAGATAGATAGATAGATAGATAGATAGATAGAAAGATAGATAGATAGATAGATAGATAGATAGATAGATAGATAGATAGATAGATAGATAGATAGATAGATAGATAGATAGACCAGCGTACTAGTGGGTGGTTTAAATGCCTATATGCCTGGGCGTATAGTTTACACTTGAACCTTAATTTTATGAGCAAACCTGATAATAAGAGGATACAAGAGATACAACTTTATATTTATATTTAGCTTGGGAACCCAGCTTTGCATGGAAACTAATATTTGTCCCTGTATAGGTCAGTCTATTCAACTGTATTACCAATCTGAGAACAAAAATGCGTGGTCCCGAGTTCACATAAAACCAAAAATATGCACTATAAATTAAAAAGTCGTAATTAAGCGATAAAAAGTCGCCTAATCGGGTGAAAAAGTTGGATGGCTTTCGATTAGGCGACAAAAAAACGCTTAACATAAATAGCTTATTTTAAAATAAAAATCGCTTTGTTTCAACAAAAAAATCGTTTATATTGCAGAAGAAGTTGGTGACTGCCAAATAAGCGACACAAAATCGTTTATTCTCAACAAAAATGCAACTAAAAATCGTTTAATTAACGATTTTTTTTCCTTAATTTCGAATTTGAGTTTATAGACGATTTAAAAATGCAAATTAGGCGACTTTTAGTCGTCTGAAATTTTATTTACTTCACAAATAACGATTTAAAATCGTTTAAAATGCAACTACAAATCGTTTTTTAAGCGACTTTTTGTCTTTAATTTCACTATTTTGAGATTGAATTAAGAGTGTGGTCTTGAAGAAATTTTACAATACGATAACCTGGAAAGAAAATATTGGAGTGACGCTTTTAAATTCTGACTGGCATGGACAAGACAATAACATGGTCACGTGAGGTCCCCCCCAAAAATCGATCTTTTAATCACAAATCTATAACTTTGAACTAAAATAAATTGTATATAAGGTTTAAATCTTATATTTTCAATTATTACGCGACCCTCTTACTGAAGAGCTCTATTGAGAAATAAAAATTTCTAATTAATATTAAAATTTTAAACAGATAAATCAACATTAAAATAAACAACGAGGTCACAAAGTCGTACTGCAGTTTGCACTGAGATGTAATCGTCTTGAATTTCGAAGATATCGAATAAAAGAAATGTGCAACTTAAAGGGACTGTAACCGTAATTTCAAGTGACCTTTTATACAAAGATGTCAATGCCAGATTTAAAACTGTACGAATTCCTGAATCTGACCAAAAATATGGAAGATGCCCTCGTTTTTTTTGATCGAAAAGTGCATAATTCTGTAGTTTCTTCATTGATTCTCAAACAAGAAATCCGCCAGTCACTTTCGCAGAGAATACACGAATGACGTTAAACAGAAGAAACAAAACATTGACAAACTTTATAAGACAAAGCTTAAGGTACTATTGTAAATCGAACATTGTCATTTTTGCCTTGAGGGTCGCTTGAAATTACGCTTGCAGTTCCTTAACTCCATAACATTCAAAAGTTTCTGATTCTGATGAACTCTGTGCATGTATGTATTAATGCCAAGTGCAAATTTAATTCCCACTATAGTACGCGGTTGGTACATCTGGTGGAAGTAACAAGGGGGGGGGGACTTTTAAAGTCATGGGGAGGGGGAATGGGGAACTTGAACAAAATGCAAAATGAAAAATAATGAATAAAAATAATGATAACAAGAAAACTTTGGATTAGGAAGACGACTTTTAAAATCAATATAAAACTTTCAATGAGGATGAAAAACAGCAATTGTGCAGTGTAAACAGATCCATTTTACAAAAGTGTAAAGAAAAACTATTTGTTTTGTATTCTATTGTTTTCTGGTTATCACTGTATCTGCAAAAAAAATAGTTAGTAGAAAAATGTATTAAAAAGATATTTACAAAATATTTTATGTTAATCAAAAAATCTTCATTGATAAAGTTGATTAATTGAAGGAATGAGAACTGATAGGAAATCATTGCAATTAATTTAATTATCTACTTCGAGCTGTGTGGGGGGTAAGTGGGTGGGATATAAAAGATAAAAAACAAATTTTATTTCACAAAAAAAAAATTGATAAAAATGAAGAAAAAACTAGAATTTGCTAATCACAAGTGTATTCGTTATATCATGTTGCTTTTTCACGGGCAGCCGTCGTAGTACATTTGAATTTACGAGCCGGGTAAACCTTTCTGGTCCAAGTTTGTCTGTACCTAGCTCTATGGAAAGGACTAGCCGGTGCAACAAGGTTGACGCGGTCAGACTTTATGCTTCATATAGGTTGAATTTACTTTTACTAAAGGGGCAGAGGTGCGTGTATTAGCAATCCTTGTACGACTATTTTATATATTTAGTTGAACCCAGAAATTTGGAGCCTTTATAAGAATTTATATCTCCGAAGTTCTGGGATAAACCGTAGATAAATAAAATAATGAACAATTATTAATTTTCAGCAAGAAATTAAAAAGTTGTTAAAAACAAATTAAAATGTTAGACAGTTTAATGAACTATTTGGATTACATCCACAAGTTAAGATACTTGTATGCAGTGATATAATATTTAATAATTAATATTTGTTGATTGAAGACTTTAAGTCTTCTTCGACCATAGAAATATTTGAGGAATTCATTTTTGCAAACCTAATTTTATAAATAGAGATATGAATGATTTGGTTTAAAATTATAGACAATTTTATGGTTTTATTTAATCAATGGAAATCTAAACAAAATTTTTAATAATCTTTAATAATTCTGAAAACAAAAATATTTCAAGCTGAGATTTTGTGTAGGACTCTAAAAAAAAGTTCAACCAAGAAAATCAGTAAATCAGTGGAATAGATAAATATGTTTTTAGGCTATTGGTCTATTTCTGGAGATCTAGAATGGATTAAATTAATCAATGGATATTTTGATGAAATATTATGAAAAAAATTGTTGAAAATTAAGAAATTAATGAGGTTGGAATTTAGTTATGATGTCATTCATCTTCCAGTTAAATATATTTTAATGGAGAACTTAGATAACAGGATAAGATTAGGGGTAACAGGGTACATAGATAAATATATATATATATATATGTAACTGCAAAGGGAAAAATAGTTGCCCTTTAAATGGAAAATGTTTAACCAAATCTATCGTGTACAGAGCAGAAATAAAATCGGACCAGGATACAGTGGCATATATTGGTTTGGCTTCTAACACATTTAAAGAGAGGTACCTGAATCATATATCATCTTTTAGGAATCAGAGATACAAAGAAAGTACGGCACTTTCCAAGTACATTTGGAAATTAAAGGATCAAAATAAACCTTATGAAATAAAATGGTTTATCGACATGTATGCACCCTCATATCATCCAACCAAGAAGAGATGCAATTTATGCAACACAGAAAAAACCCTTATCCTCACATCTACACATCATCATCTTCTAAATCAGCGTAGTGAATTACTAAATACATGTCGGCATAGAAGAAAATATCTATTATCATCGATTTAGCAAAATGTGATCATGTTTTTATAAGTATCTAATAATTTGTATATTGCAGTTGAGTGCTGTATTTTTTTTTAAAGGGAAAATCATTGCAAAGAAATGTTTGTAATAATTTTTTAGAAAATACGCAATATGTGATGAAAAAATCTTGGAATTGTAGTTGTTCAAAGAATTGTAGCTACTGAGGATCGTCATGATAGACGTGAAACATTATGTTTAGTATAATTCTTTTTTTAATAAAAATGTGAAGTTAAAAACTGAAATATATATATTTATATATATACATAACAACTTTATTTTTGTGTAAACTATGTACAGGATATATAGATAAAGAGAAGATTATTAATAGATTGACAGTTAAATAGATACATGTTGGATAGATAGATAGATGGATAGAAAGACAGTCAGATAAGATAGATATATAAATATTTCATATTTCATATTTTTATTTAACTACAAAGTATGAAATATTAATAGAGAATGGATAATATAGATATATATTTAGATAAATATGTAGATAGATAGATAGATAGATATATAAGTAAACAAGTATACTGCTTGATTGCATGAAGCTAATTCAGAGTGTCCAAATCACCAGGTGTGGACTGCCTTTTCTATCTATCTATCTATCTTAATATGTATCTATCTATCTACCTGTGTATTCCTTACCGCGTAGAGTAATAAGTCCACCTGATCCTAATGAAGAACCCACGTAGAACAATGTTTATATCCTCAGTTGCTGGTTGGCTGTCAACCAGTTAACATATCGGCCCTGAGCTGTGTCGTGAGTTCATTATTTTCCATCGGATTAAAAGTGTCAAAATATGTGATTCAACATTGTGATAATTGATAATTGTAGTAATTGTGATAAATAGTTTTTCAAAATGCCTGTGATTTGGGGACCATTTGAGAGCTCCCTACGGAGCAGAATTGGGCCAGGGGGGGAGGATTTGTCACAGAAAAAAATTATGCATAAAACCTGTAGCGGTCATGCCCACGGTCACGGGGTGAGAAAGGAGAAGGTGGTGGTTGAGAAGGAGAAAGGATGGAGGGAGGGACGGCAAGCAGAGGATAGGGTGGGGAGGGAGAGAAGGCAGATATCTCTTCCACCAGAGTCAAGCAGTGACGAAAGTACTCCACCATCGGCAAACAGGAAAAAATCAAAATATAATTTTTTTTTGGTTTATCAAAATTTTTGACATTTTCGTAATTATGAACGGAAACCACAACCATAGAAAAGTAAAACTAAGTGAGTTTCTCTTGTTTTTTTCCTGTTTAACAACATATTTTATATATAATGAATGTAGAAAGGACAAAACAGATAATCGGTTTTTTAAAGCATTTAACGCGTATTTATTCGTGATTATACTTGTTTCACTGGTTTTGTATTCATAATTGTCATTTTGATTAATCAAGAATGCCGGATCTGATTCCAAACTCAAAGGAACATAATCTTATTTATTGATCATAATAATGATAATAACGATATTGATAATAATAAAAAAAAACATAACAAAACAAGGCATTCATATATATGTTGCGTATAGCCGGCCAAACGGCTGAACCGATTGTGCCGAAATTTGTTGAGGAAAATCATGTGAAAAATTGGAACTTTTTTTGTTCCAAATTTTTTTTTCTAAATATTTTTTCCACGGGTAACGCCGGGCCCTTCAGCTAATCTTAAATAATACAGTATAATCAAGATAATAAAGATTTTATTTTATGAAAATTATCTTAAGAACCAACCAAGACGTTTTTTGGGAGACTTGAGAGCTAGGAAAAAAATAGGGTCCGAAAAATGTCATTAATTAAAGAAATTAAAATTAGTTACATTAGTGCATTGAATTCTCTTAAAATTTAAATACTTTTTAGTTGATTTTAAAGAATTAATTGCCTGAACGTTGTGCTAACAGGCACTAAATCTTATTCCAAAGGAAAAAGGTCAGCGGGAAAACAATTTTGATGTGTTTCTTAAAGCTTGCGACGACTTTGTTTATTTGTGTATTTAATTGCTTTTAGACGAATAAACTAAATGAAAGTGCAGACTTTGAGATAAATGAATTAAAAATAAAAAAATCCATAAAAAACAATGAATTATGTGCAGAGACGTGCAAGCCTTGGTACATCGGGTACACGCAGATCATCATTTGAGGAATAGTACATGTACAATTATACAGTAGAATTACATGTACATTGTTATCTACTGATGATATAAAAGTGTCTGTTCCATTTATTTCAAATTTTTGTTTCACTTGTAAAAGAGGCCTTTTAAATCTTAAAAATGTCTAAAACTGCCGTTTCAAGTTTTGGGTAATTTTGGGTGCCCCTTATTATTATTATTAAAAAAACTATTGTACTATATTGTATATAAAAAGTACATTTAAATTTAAAAAAATACTGTACATGCGTATTAAAGTTAATGTGATCTAAATAAACTATTGTACATAATTATCAAAAGTACATATGTACATGTATAAATAAAGGTGATGAATCGTATGCTCTACGGATCAGCAACTAAGGAAAACATGTTTGAAAATTTTTAAATTGACAAAAAAATTGAATGAGATTTTATTAAGTACAATTGCTTTTGAATAACCATTTCAGACCATTAACATTTCAAAATGGCTCCCTTCATGTCCGAATTTGTGTTTGTATATTAAAACAAAAATACATCCATTATCGTTTCTCATGTATAAAGAACTTTCTAGATTATAAAAATCATCGTCATAAAGGAATTGATCGTCTTTGCCATAATCTATGATTTTCTAATCACTATCTTTGCAACCCAATATCATAGACATTAGATAAATTCTGTTAGCTTAAAAAATCTAATTTTAAATTATCAAAGGTCCTCAGCTTCCAAATATACAGAGATTATAAAATTTGACTTTGTGGCAAAGACTCCTTTTTTTAAAGAAAAAAAAAGTTTAAAAACATGTCAATTATCAGGATGATCTTTTGAATAGAGTTCAGGACGACACAGATTCAGGAAAGAGTTCTGTCGTAGAATTAAATTATCAAAAATGGAAAAAAGAGTCAAAATTTAGATTTCAAGATCTTTGACAGCTAGTTATTAAATGAAAAAAAACGTTGTCAGATTTTGAAATAAAACTACAACAAAATTCTGATTCATCTTCACGTCTGATTCATCTTACATTTATTAAAAACTTGTTTCTGAAGAAATTAAGTCCAATAAATGGAGAAGAAAAATAATGTTCAAAGTAGTTCTGAAACTTAGGGGGAAAATAGTTATGTAATTTTAAGATTACTTCGAAATTTTGATTTGCAAAGGCCTGGCTGGTTAATCTAAAACAAAAATAAACCACGTTTTTTAAGGTCACCATGACAAATTTAAGAATACAAAATTCGGAACTACAATTACTCGTTAAACTTTCTTTCCCGCAGTACTCGGGCCCTCGCATATTCTAGCTGAAGTGCTCTACCCCCTAGTATATTCTAGCTGAAGTGCTCTACCCCCTAGTATATTCTAGCTGAAGTGCTCTACCCCCTAGTATATTCTAGCTGAAGTGCTCGACCCCCTTGCATATTCTAGCTGAAGTGCTCTACCCCCTAGTATATTCTAGCTGAAGTGCTCTACCCCCTAGTATACTCTAGCTGAAGTGCTCTACCCCCTAGTATATTCTAGCTGAAGTGCTCGACCCCCTTGCATATTCTAGCTGAAGTGCTCTACCCCCTAGTATATTCTAGCTGAAGTGCTCTACCCCCTAGTATACTCTAGCTGAAGTGCTCTACCCCCTAGTATATTCTAGTTGAAGTGCTCGACCCCCTTGCATATTCTATCTGAAGTGATCGACCCCGTTGCATATTCTAGCTGAAGTGCTCGACCCCTTAGCATATTCTAGCTGAAGTGCTTGCTCGACCCACTTGTATATTCTAACGGAAGTGCTCGACCCCCTAGCATATTCTAGCTGAAGTGCTCGACCCCCTAGCATATTCTAGCTGAAGTGCTCGAACCCCTTGCATATTCTAGCTGAAGTGCTCGACCCCTTAGCATATTCTAGCTGAAGTGCTTGCTCGACCCCCTTGCATATTCTAACGGAAATGCTTTACCCCCTAGAATATTCTAGCTGAAGTGCTCGAACCCATATCATATTCTAGCTCAAGTGCTCGACCCCCTATCACATTCTAGGTGAAGTGCTCGACCCCCCAGCATATTCTAGCTGAAGTGCTCGACCCCCTAGCATATTCTAGCTGAAGTGCTCGAACCCCTAGCATATTCTAGCTGCCCCTAGCATATTCTAGCTGAAGTGCTTGAACCCCTGGCATATTCTAGCTGAAGTGCTCGAACCCCTATCACATTCTAGCTGAAGTTCTCGACCCCCTAGCATATTCTAACTGAAGTGCTCAAAACCCTGGCCTATTCTAGCTCAAGTGCTCGAACCCCTAGCATATTCTAGCTGAAGTGCTCAACCCCCTTGCATATTCTAGCTGTAGTGCTCGACCCCCTTGCATATTCTAGCTGAAGTGCTCGACCCCCTTGCATATTCTAGCTGAAGTGCTTGTTCCCTGGAATAAAACAAAAACCGTAAAAACCTTAATTTGTACTTGACGCGTGGAGTTTATCTTTCAGGATTGCCAAATCCATTATTTGAGTTTCACGTCACGGATTTATGTAAATTCCATATATCTCCGACAATGTTCTAAAAACCATTAACAGTCTCTTGAATTCAGGAGTAGTTTCATCAGATGGAGAACAAAGGTTAAGGGATAGAGGATCTAACCTTAATCAAAGGTAACAACTCTTCTCAGAGCTAACACAGGGATCCTAAGGTTGGAAGCTCTCACTCAAAAACCGATTAAATTTTACCAATTTCTTCTTAAAAACTAATGTAAATAACATGTGCTTTATAGTTTTAAAATGTTCACGTCTAGAGCTAAAAAAATATATCTGAGTTAGTAAGTTTAAATCAAATGTCAAGATGTTGTGACCCTTCAAAGTCGGCCCAGTCTTGATACAACTCTTCAGTTTTGATCTATGTAAGATGCAACTAGAGAATTTCTTAAAGGGGGGGGGTGTAAATAATTAAGCATGGCACATTTAAGTGGGAAAATCTAAATGGTTCTTATGAAAGGATGAGACTTCAGAGATGACCCTGTGGAATTTTTAAAGTTTTCCCCACATTTATAGTTTCTCGCAGATGCACACTAAAGTGTATTTTTACCAAAGACTGTAATAAACATTACCATTGAACCAATTTTAATTTTTCGATCATTATATCTCTAAATAGTTTTAGGTCGTCAGTATAGTCTAATCCTTTTTAAATAACTCTTAAAATAGATGAAATTATTCCTCTTCTCCCTATTCAATGCTTTTAACACCATTACTTTTTTAATCTTTATCTGAGAACCACTGAGAAAGAAATCATTCTTAAAAGTGTTCAATTCTTTCAATTTCATTCCTTCTTCCTGTCCAATAACTCGGCAAGATATTTTTTAAGAGAAATTAGATTTTAAAATATTGCTATCAGATCTAAAAGCGAAGTTGAAAAGGTACCATTGTGAATCTTTGCAAATCTTTAAATTAAAATGCTCTGTAAATTTGTTTGCAGTCCCTTTAGCTGATGATAATTCAGATGCATTTTTACGTAAGAAAAATTTCCACATTTTCCAAGCGTTTGGTTTGGTTTGGTTTGATAATTTTGGTATTTTTATTTATGACTCAAACCAGGCTAATGTCGTTTCAAACCTCAATCGGGGCTCCATAAATTTCACCTGGTTTGTTTAATGATTAGGGGTTAGAATTCTGCATTAAAAACATACATTTTGAAAGAACCTTACGCATAACACATTTTTATGAACACGTTGTAAAAACGTATACGTACCTTAATAACCAGAAAATTTTGGAATACTAAGACGACATTAAAATAATTCTTATGTTCTTACAAAACAAATAGTTTTACTGCTATTAAATCACTTATTAATTTGAATGGGTCTATTTACATTGCACTATTGCTGTGGCTCGTGTTAATTGGACTTAGTTTAAGTATAAAAGTCGTCTTCCTATTCCAAGAATTGTCTGGTTCCCTCTGTATATTGAAACCGTGTAGATAATTGACAAACTCAATTTACATTTCTCTTTCGACGGTTAACCTGATTTTAAAGTGTTAAAGATTTGCACAAATGTGAATGATGGAGATTTCCTTGTTTTAATTCTGTCTTAAAATTTAAATTTTCCGTCACTTGTCAAGGCAGGAAACCGTTGATATTTTCTTATTTCATTTAATATTTTTCAGAATACGCCATTGCTCCCCTTCTCCTGGATACAAGAACAGGCTTCGATCCATACAATCCAATCCTTCAGATAGGGATTCAAGTGTTTCCCCGCCCCTAGACAATTCAACCAGGAATATACATATTTATACTTAATAAATATTTACATGAAACACCGGCCGTGTCCAGCAATAACCAATCTTAATAAACAATAGAAAATGTTCTATATATATATATATATATATATATATATATATATATGTATAAATATATTTATTTAACATGTTCTAAGTTGGCAACTTATGAAGAACATAGTTAAATAATATAATATATATATATATTTATTCAACATGTTCTAGGTTGGGAACTTATGAAGAACATAGTTGAAAAAGATAATAATATATATGTATATATAAATTTATTCAACATGTTCTAGGTTGGGAACTTATGAAGAACATAGTTGAATAAGATAATAATATATATATATATAAATTTATTCAACATGTTCTAGGTTGGGAACTTATGAAGAACATAGTTGAAAAAGATAATAATATATATGTATATATATTCAACATGTTCTAAGTTGGGAACTTATGAAGAACATAGTTAAATAATATAATATATATATATATTTATTCAACATGTTCTAGGTTGGGAACTTATGAAGAACATAGTTGAAAAAGATAATAATATATATGTATATATATTCAACATGTTCTAAGTTGGGAACTTATGAAGAACATGTTGAATAAGATAATACTAACTCAACAATTATTGCTGTTCTCAAATCAATCTTTGTAACTGTAAAAGGAGCTGCTTTAAAGATGAATCTACTAAATTTTGAGTAATGTAAACTTTGAACTAAAGGAACCTGTTTTTGTCACTTTAATTCATTTAACGTACTTTAAAAACAAGTTTTTAAGAATAAATGTATTAATGTGAATGAATGATAAGTATATATATTTGATAAGATCAAGTTCTACAAGTATAAAAACTTCCAGCTCTAGTTCTACTCTACCCCGACGAACTAAATCTACATCTAACACCTGCCCCACCCCCTCCACTCCCCAGCCGGTCAAGAAGGTGTCCCTGGGCGGCTACGCCTTTGGGTCAAGTACCCAGAGGTTTACTAGTCCAGTCCTTAGCTATACGGAGGGGAATGTTTCCAGAGAAAGTTTGACAGGAATATTGTACAACTTAATTTTGTACAAATATGAAAATATCATGAAATTTTAAAGATGCAAATTTTGATTTTTGAATTATACAACTTTTTTTTTAAATGTACATGTTCATGTTCAATTTTGAAGGTTTTTTAATTCTTAATCAAAACTATATTACACATCTTCCGCAACTACTTCAGTTGTAAAAACAGCCATTTTATGATAAAAATAGCACTTTCCCGGGAAGTTATAAAATGTGCAAATATTTGGATTAGACCTACACACCCCCCTGAGCAGAACCAACAGTGACTCCAGGGTTGGGGGGAGCTCCACCCCCAAGAGAAAGCGCACCCCGACTCACAAAGCATCGGTTGCGCGCGCGTGGTTGCAATTTCAGGAAATCAGTTTGAAAATTTGTAAATTTTAAAATGAAAACTTGACGAAGCGATTAAAATGTACCCAAGCAAATTTAGAGGATGGGGGACGATAATTCCCCAGGGATAAATCCACTTTCAATATCAAAACCTCCAAAGATCTCACTTCTAGTATCGTTCATCGAAACTATATATTGAATACCCGTCTGTGTTACAAATGTTTCTCGAGTCTGAAACTTTTAAATGGCACTATTTAAAAGTAATGAGCTCTGGGGTTGGATTAAACTGATCCATGGTTCTAGGAGGATATAGAGAAGGCGCTGCAGAGAAAACCAGGGAACCTGGGCTTCTACAAGAACCTCACCGACCTTATGCAGGATAGGATGGAAGAGATAGATCAGGCAAGACGCACTCATGTACAGTGAAATCCATAAAACTGTGGAATATGAAGAGGAATTATAAGAAAATAATCAGTACCCTGATTGGCTATATTTTTATATTTTGGTAAAAGTTCGACATTTTTAGTGATTTTTGTTGAGTTCGCTTAGCTTGACCTGTGGCTGAGATGTATATATATAATTAGTTTTGTGTTTTACAAGTTTGCTTAAAAATCAACTGGTGAAGTGAAAAGTAGGTCCCATAGTTTTGTAGGTCCCACTGTATAACTGGATGAACTAACCCCTTTTGTTGATATTCGTTTGACAAATTCCATTTGGGTTTTGACCGTGTTTAAAAAATTGTGTTTTATTTAGAGAAGTTATATATACTAGCTCCAGTAGTGAAAACCCTTAGAGATACTATCAACCCTAATGGTGAAATAAGTTTCATATATACCTGAAATTGTAGATAGATAGATAGATTGATAGATAGACAGATAGATAGATAGATAGATAAATATATAGGTAACTGAATAGATTTACAGATAGATAAATAGATCGATAGTAGATAAAAAGTTAGATGGATATATAGACTGATGGATAAAAAGAAAGATAGACAAATAAATAAATAGTTAGAAAGATAGATAGATAGAAAGATAGATAGAAATATAGATATATAGATAGATAGATAGATAGATAGATAGATAGATAGATAGATAGATAGATAGATATTTATCTAGGTATAGAGAGTACCAGGTTTAGATTATCTAGGTATAGTCTAGAGTACTAGATTTAGTTTATCTAGTTTTTGTCTAGAGTACTAGATTTAGATTATCTAGGTATAGTCTAGAGTACCAGGTTTAGATTTTCTAGGTATAGTCTAGAGTATTAGGTATAGTCTAGAGTATTAGGTATAGTCTAGAGTACTAGGTTTATATTATCTAGGTATTGTCTAAAGTACTAGGTTTAGATTATCTAGGTATAGAGAGTACCAGGGTTTGATTATCTAGGCATTGTCTAGAGTACTAGATTTAGATTATCTAGGTATAGTCTAGAGTACCAGGTTTAGATTATCTAGGTATAGTCTAGAGTACTAGGTTTATATTATCTAGGTATTGTCTAGAGTACTAGGTTTAGATTATCTAGGTATAGAGAGTACCAGGGTTTGATTATCTAGGCATTGTCTAGAGTACTAGGTTTAGATTATCTAGGTGTAGTCTAGAGTACTAGGTTTAGATTATCTAGGTGCAGTCTAGAGTACTAGGTTTAGATTATCTAGGTAAAGTCTAGAGTACTAGGTTTAGATTATCTAGGTACAGTCTAGAATACTAAGTTTGGGTATAGTCTAGAGTAGGAGCGTAGGCGGAGGTTTAATGAGAACTATCAAACACTGAGAACAACAAAAAATTGTATCTAATTTATTTTGCAACCCTTCCCCCCTCCCACAACTCCTTCCCCTCTACA